ATCGCAACGTTCGATTTTCATTTCAATACTGAAGTTTGATGATAAAGAGAATGATTGTACATCGACAGTCGTTTCTATTCGTGGCTTCATTGATGTATTCTGTACAGTGAAATTGACCGTGCCCGTCGATGAAACGCCTATCTGATAAGATGAAATATGTCGAAATATCAATTTAAAATTCGTAGCATTCATTATTGAGATTAATTCGACTTCTTTTATAGCAATGGTACGATTGAATGTGTCATCGAATGTGCAGTTAGTTTCTTTTGTACATTGTCGATTGACTAATGGTAGACCTATTTTCGTTGAAAACTCATTGAGAATTGGCGATAGACCAATATTATCATCTGATTCAAGTGTAATTGATGCTGAACGGGAAATGAGTGGAACAAGAATAGGTAGACGGCTAGGAATTTCGATTTGATAGATCGATTTTGACAAATGTTGCACATTGACAATTTTCGGATGCGTACTGCTGAATTGTTGCCGTGGACAAGCAACAATGAAGACAATGACAAAACTTAGGACAAGAAAAACTAATGTCCGACCAAAATACATTGTTCGTTGTATGTTCGGAATGAAGACGAGGAAAAATAGAGAGGCTGGCAAAACGATGAGAATACAGATCACAACATCTGCTGGTATGGGTATTGCCTTTGACATGTGAGTCATTCTTGGAATACCCATACGAACAAGACGACTTGTCATTTCGAATGAATGAATAAGAGGTACAAGTGAGACAATATAAGGCGCAAATATCCAGTACCATCGTTGTTCACTGCAAAAATGCGGTACTTTACAGTGGATCCAACGAAAAGTGAATTCGACTAATATTATTAGTAGATAAACAGGGCAGACAAAAATTGACCATAGAAGAATGATATACAAAGAGCGGTAACCAAGACGGATCGAAACGATCATCAATATAGCATAGATGAGAAGTAATGCAAAGTGCCTTTCGAAATCGAAGCTACGACGATTTATTCGATCCATCTCTACTGATTTCACTCGAGTAGAATCTTTCTGCGACCATTTCGATTGAATCCACCGATAGCATATTGACCAGAATGCTTCTGTAGCAATTATACCAATCAAGTATGGAAGGCCAAAGAGGAAAAATGCCAAGGTTGAGTTACCGAACCATGAAAGAGGTCGAATTTTCGACATGAGAAATGCGATGGCTACAGCAAGTAGAATAGCAACAATCAGTGAAAGCAGAGAACATATGACAAATATGATAACGAACACAATTCGCACGATGATGGCATAGTTAAAGTGGAAGTAGACAGAAAGAGGATCGTCCGATGAAGGATATCGTTGTTGCCAGAAATGATCCAAGACAATCATGAGAATGCCAATAAACAAGATCAATCCTGTTAGAATTGCTTGAACAATAATTGATGTAGACATTTTATAAGTAACTAAATGACGACCGAGTATATCAAAATAGATGAGATTATCGTCGTCACTGATGTTATATGGTTGTTGAAGATCAACACGACCGAATAGGATCTCATGTGATAAAGCAAGTGTATTTTCGCCAAGATGCTGTAAAGCACCCAATTCGACAATTGATGGTCGATCGAGCAACGTATGATAATTGTAACCATCGAGATAGAATGCAAAATCGTAGCCCGGCAATGATCCTTTGGTGGCAAACTGAGTATAATCCGTGTTCGCTCCCAAATATTGCAAAATCTCATCGCCAAATACATTGGCATGAGGTCTTGGTACTCTTCCATAATCGACAACAAGCTATGAAGAATTGTTAAAACATAGAACAAAAATGATCGAGAAGAGATAGAGAAACCTGTGATGGCTTGGCACGAAAAAGAATGGCTTTGCCCTTACCACCGGTTGAATCAAGATTGATGAAGCGTCGGATACTTGTTTTCCAGGTGTGATTACTTATGAATGCTTGAGCACCTTTCAAACCCAGTTCTTCAGCACCGGTGAATAAAACAATCAGATGTACTCGATCGAATA